CAAAGCAAAGTAAAACAATGCCAAGCAATGCAACAATGCCAAGAAACGCCAAACAACGCCAATCAATGCCAAGCACTGCAAATCCGCCGACCCTCCGGCGTATGTGAGTCGCTGCCGTCGTCTTCGTCGTGCTCGTCGCCAGTCCCAAGGACATTCAGACACGAAGAGGGAAAAGACACGTCGTAGTGAAATCGATACCCTCCCCTTTCTACCCTCCCTGACCTGGGGGAGCACGGTCCCGGGTCAGATTACTGACTCCCCCGGGGTCCCGGCGGCCACTCTTCCCCTCCCCGGTCCCCCTGTGGATCAGAAGAGGACAAGGGGGCGGGGGCCCTGTGGGGAGGGGGGTCTCGGACCCTGACCTTCCGGAGAGCTATTCTTTAGCACTGGAGGCCTGAACACCTAAATAACTAAACGAAACAGCCAAAAACCAAGACGTAGAATAGCTTTGGGATAGGTTTTTACGTCGGGTGCTATTTTTTAGCCCTCCTGGAAGGTCAGGGGAGGGGGGTCCTGGGAGAGGTCGCCCCGGGGGAGCGTGGCCCCATGTCAAATACAGCCCCCCCCCCGGGTCCAGCTCCAGGGGGGGCGCCAGCGGGGGTAAATACCCGGGGAGGTCCCGCCTTCAGGGTCGGCGGCGCAGGCCGTAAAGCCGTCACAATGAATGCCGCGCAACGTCAAGCAACACAATGCAATGCCAAGCACGGCTTGTGAATGCCAAGCAAGGGGGGACAATTCACTAGTCCCAAACACGGCACTGCAATGCCAAGCGATGCCAAGCAACGCCGCTTGGGAAGCGTTCCCCCAAGTAGGGTTGTGTTTCGAGGAGTGCATCTCGCCATAGCCTTCGGTCGGGCATGTCCCCCTACAGGGGGCTGTTGGGCGGAAACGAAACAAATAGTCAAACAAGATCCGTAAAATGATCAACCATTGCTCAAAACATCGTCCCCAAACTATCTTGTACAGGGCGGGGTTTAATACATAGGATTCTTGACCTCTAGAAAGGTTAAACCATAGTTAAGTTAGGAATAAATGAATGCGTGAACTCATCCTTGTATGTATCAATCAACCCTCAATGTTTAATACATGGTCGGCACGCGGAACAAATATTGAAACCGGCGCTGTACTGTCTTTGCAATGTTCCCCCCTGCAGAGGGACAGGCCCGACTTATCCGCTGCGCCGCGCAAGCTCGCCTCGCATGCTGTTTGACCCCTGCACGGGCGGAGCAGCTCCTTGCCCAAGCAACGCTCTCGCGTGAGACCTCCGCTGGTCTGAGGTTATGTTGTGCCCATCGTACTTGAGGGCCACATCCCAGAAATAAGTTCGAGCACCCCGAAGAGTGCCGAAGGAGTGTCGAAACAGCGTGGGACGAGTGTCTCCCAGGGCAATGCTCTCGCGTGAGACTTCCGCTGGTCTGGAGATATGCTGTGCCCATCGTACTTGAGGCCCACATTTAAGTCGGGCCTGTCCACCTACAGGGGAATTTTCGACGAAACAAAAATACCCCAACAATAGTCCAAAAATAATTCAAAAATAGTCTGGGGACTATTTTGTTGATATTTTTTGACCTTTTTGGGGTATCTTTCTGGTATTTTCTATTTGTCGTCGAAAACCCCCCTGTAGGGGGACACGCCCGACATAAGGCCACATCCCAGGAATAATTTCGAGCACCCGGAAGAGTGTCGAGAGAGTGTCGAAACAGTGTCGGACGAGTGTCTCCCAAGGCCCGACACGTGAAAATCCTCGAGTTTCGGTACTGCTTTGGTGCTCGGAATTCTCTCTGGTGATCTAGGCTAAAGCAGGTTGGAACATCATGAGCCTGAGGGTGGAAAACGAAATCAGGTGTAGCATTCGCACGGGTGGTGGACGGCTCCTGTTCAAAATTCGGCGTCCCGCGTCCCACTCCCTTTTCATGTGTATGGTCCTACATGACTGACACTCAAAGATCTGGTGCCGATCCAAGAACTCCGCGCGGACCCCCGAGAACTTACATGTACGAAAAAGAAGAACGGGGCCAGCGCGCGTCCCAGGGACCATCGCACCTCCTCCCCATCCTCCTCCGCTCGAGCCGGACGAGGGGGCGGGGGTTGGCCACGGGAATGCCAGCGAATCAGCTCACGTAGCTGATTTTCCCAGTACCTCTGGAGGCGCCAATCATACAGGAATGCGCCCAGCAGCGGGGCCGAAGCCAGCTGCACGCAGCAGAACTCGTGCCCTGCCCCAATCCAGCAACAGAAAATACGGCATAATCATAACTTTTGGCGCTCCGCGCGGATTTCTGAGATCCGCGCCAGACCCCACCCCCTTCCTGGCGCGCGGAGCGCCAACAAAATTATGTTTATGCAGTTTTTTCTTCGACTGCGGTGTGGGCATTGGATGAGGAACCCTTCGAAAAGGCATCCACGGTCTGGAATCCAGTGTAACTCCAATCGTGGATCGGCCATGGATCTCACCGCCGCCCTCACCGGATACGGGGTCCTCCGAGGTCCGGCGCCTCCTGTGACTGTTCCTTAACCAACGCCCCCACCGTGTCCACCCCCTCCGTCCGGCCCGGTCTTCCTCGGCATCTCTCGCAGGGGCGACGTCTGCATCGCGCGCTTTTCCCGCGCACGGCGCGAGAGGGCGCGCGGCCATCAGCCCATGGGGGTGCCCTCATACTGCGCCACTTCGCTTGGGAGCGCCTGCAGGGGGCATGCCGCCCGCCGCCGATGTGAGAGAGCCGTCGTCGAGAGCTCTGACTACCCCAACCCAACCCGGAGACCCGAATGCCGGGTTGCGGGGGGCACGGGCTTCATATGTGTGTTTGCCATGTTCTCCGACCCCCCCCCCTCAGGAAATGGAGGGCAAATCGAGGCCTTCGGGCTGGGTTGGGTGGGCCGGTGGGCGGTGCAGCTCTGCGGCAGGGGGGGCGGGGGGCGGAGGACGAAACCAATGATCCCAGAGCTGCGCACGTGTGCACAGAAAGGTACGCGGACGCCTCTGCCCGAAGCACAGCCTGCACAAACCGCCGAGCCCCTCACGCTCACAAGCCTGCCCCAAAGGATGTCCACTGTACCGTCTAGGGTGGCGGATGCAAACATAGCTTCACGGTCATACGCGGGCGACTTCGGAAACCCTGAACTTAAGTCGGGCCTGTCCTCCTACAGGGGGATTTGGGGCGACACATTAGAAAATACTCAAAAAATGCCCCCACATATTCGAAAATACACCAGACGACATTTGACTATTTTTTGAATCTTCCTCCTGTAGAAGGACGTGCCCGACTTAACCCTGAACACCAAAAACGTGTTCAATCCCTCTGGGGCGCATCGAGGACGCTGGCGGCGCATCACCGGCCGCTCCCTGGGAGTTTGTCGAAGTGGTGCGCAGCATCGACAGCCGTGGCGCGGCGCGCATGCCAGCCATCAAATAGCCGTCGGCCCATCCCGCCACCGTGCTCGGGCTTTGGGGTCGGAGTCCTCGTGGACGCCTCCTGGGGTCTCTCGAGAGGGCTCTCGGAGGCCTCTGCAGGGGAGTTTAGGGGCCTCTTGGGGGCCATCCGTGTTCAAATAGCTTCACGGTCATGTGGGCGACTTCGGAAACCAGGAGGAGGAGGCGGAGGAGGAGGAGGAGGAGGCAGAGGAGGCAGAGGAGGAGGAGGGGGAGGAGGGGGAGGGGGACGAGGAGGGGGAGGGGAGGGGAGGAGGAGGGGAGGAGGAGGGGAGGAGGAGGAGGAGGAGGAGGAGGAGGAGAGGAGGGAGGAGGAGGAGGAGGAGGAGGAGGAGGAGGAGGAGGAGGAGGAGGGGGAGGAAGTGGGGAAGGAGGAGAAGGAGGAGGAGGAGGAGGAGGAGGAGGAGGAGGAAGAGAATGAGGAGGAGGAGACCCAAAAACGTGCTCAACCCCTTTGGGGGCGCAACCTTCTGCTTCCGCCCGCCCTCCGCCGCCCTCCTCCGCCGCCCTCCTCCGCCGGCCTCCGCAGTCCGAGGCGGCCCCGCTCTACTCCCGCCGACCTCCCGCCGGCCTCCCGCCGCGGAAGGGGTGACAGCCCCTTCGACCCTCGAAGGCGAGGCCCTCTCCGGAGCGCCCGAGGCGCCCCTGTCCCCGAGGATCTGCCTGGGTTAGATCGGGCGCCTCCCCCTACAACGGGTTTTGAGCGCGCATGTTGAAAACTTGTTAATCGCATGACTGAATAGAAAGAATCACAAGCGAATGGCAAACGGTTAGGTAGGTCTGCCGGAGTTAGGTCGGGCGCCCAAGTCGCCCCTGTCCCCGAGGATCTGCCTGGGTAGGCCTGGCGGATTTGGGACGAGCCATCGAAAGCAGGCAGAACCACTCCCAAATGGTCGAACATGCGCAGGACATCGTCTGTGGACAATATTCTCTGACAATGTTTGCACACTCCTCCTGTAGAGCGACAGGCCCGACTTGATACCAGGGCCCAGCAGGCAGGGACTCCTGGCGAGCCGCGCCCCCGGCGCGCCTCGAGAGCGCTGCGGCCCCGGGCCGCGCCGCTCTCCCGGCCTCCCCTTCTCTCCGGCTGGGCCCCGCGGCGTGCGCGAAGCTCGGGGGCCCAAGCTTGGAGCCCCGAAGCGGTGCGGTGACAGACCGTGCGGTGACCTCGGAATCCCAAGAACCCTCACCGCACGGTCCGTCACCGCACGGTCTTGGGACCCCGGAGGCCCCTGTCGCCCGAGACCTCCTCGGAGAGGGACTCGAGTCCCAAAACCGTGCGGTGACCCCGAATCCCCACCGACTCTCCGCACGGTGTGGCCACCACCCCGTTTGGGGGCCCCCGACCAAGGGCACCAGCGGGAGGTTCTGCTCCACTCCGGGACCCCCGGGTCCAGAAGTGCTGACGCCTCGCCTCGACTTTTCGGTCGGGCATGCCCTCCTACAGGCGGGTGTTGGATGAAACATGGGCAATCGTCAAACCATGCTCAAACATAGTCAAACATCACAATAAAAACAAACTCGGGGATGGACAGAACCCCCTTTAGTAAAACGTGGTTTAGTGAAAACGACCTGAGGCCCAAACCTGGCGGGCGCAACCCTGGAAAATAGCGGCCACGGCGCCCTCTCGAGAACCGAAAACGGACAATTCACTAATCGACGTGTCACTGTTGGGGGTCCTGTCCACCCCCGACCCATTCGTTATTCAACTCAAAACAGTGTTTGAAGACTCCCCCTGTGGAGGGACACGCCGGACTTAACTCTACTTCCGCCGCACTCCGGCCCGCCCTCCGCGCTCGCCGGCCCCGCGGGTCCACCGCCGCTGTGCGCCTGCCGCCCGCCGCCAGAAGGCGAGCCGCGGCACAACGGCGAGACCTGCTCTGTGTTCCTAACGCAAGCGCTCCCTTAGTGGGCCCTGGAAACGACAGGGTTTATTACCGGTTCCGTTTTGCAGTTTTTTTGCCGGTTCCGACGCCGTTGTTGTTACCGGTTCCGTCGCCGTTTTTTTACCGGTTCCGGCTCCGGGTCCAATCCTGGAGCCGTTTTTTAGCCGTTTCTGGTCGCCGTTTTTGTGCCGTTTCCATTTTCAAGGGACATTTTTTCGGAAACGGTGAAGAAACAGCCCTGCCGTTTCCGGGGCCCACAAAGAGCGCTCCCCACAACTGATCATCATCTGGACGTGTCGGCCACCAGAAGTCGATGAAGCTTAAATTCCGTGGCCAACTGCCGCCGTCACAGAAGTGCCTGGGAAAAATCGTAGGCCCAAGAAGGATGAGCGAGGGGGAGGAGGAGCGCACGTGGCATGGGGGCAACGTGCGACCTCTTACCCACTGGCGACGATGGCCAGCTTGACATAGCCCAACAGCCTCAGATGGGCCGTGAGATCGCAAAGACGGGTGGGCGAGGCTTCATGCTCAGCGGTCAGCTCATGGTAGAATCTCCAGGTGGTTGCAAGTCAACGACGGGCGTCAAAACGCGACGATCCGTCATCATCTCTTAAGAGCCGAGGCCGAGACGGGCGAGAGGGCAGGCAGGACGGAACATCCGCAAGGCGAATCCCCCTCTGGAATGCCCGAGGTGGCGCCCGCGGCCCGTCCTCTCGTGGGCTGCCCCTGCCCTGCGTGAGAGCGCGCGCGGGCCACCGCGGCAAGAACTACAGCCAAGGACGTTGAGATCAGGAGCGCTCAGTGCTCCAGAAGGCCTCCGGCCTCTGGTGCCTTTTTTCCGACGAGCTCTTTCCGCTGGAGAGGAAAGAGGAACGCTGAGGGGAAGGGAGGCGCGAAGAACCATGCAGAACGGGAGACCATACCCAGCGCAAAGCCATTCCAACGACGACGACGAGGAGGAGGAGGCCCCAGCGGAGGAGGAGGAGGAGCGGGAGCGGGAGCGGGGGCTGGAGCGGGGAGGGAAGACCCGAAGCCCCCAGAAGCTGAGGCTGTCCTGCGGGCGTGGCCGAAACAACTGTTCTGCGAGCGTGGCCGAAACGGCTCGTTCCTGCAGAGCTGGGACGGGATAGGAACAATGAAAGGCGGCACCAACACCAACAGGGCGAGGAGATGCGAGGAGAAAGGGAGGTCTCCCTGGTGGTGTGGTCCCCCCTCTCGCTCGAGACATCCCCAGCCTCCAGCTCGGGGAGGCATCGTGGACCTCCTCGCTGGAGGTGGCCCCCCTGGTGGTGTTGGTGTCGCTTCTCCCCCCTTCGATGGGTCGGGAAGCCCATTCGTGGCTGAGTCCCCCTGTGGCCAGAAGAGCCCGATTCGTTCGTTCTTCAGCGATCAGCCTGACAGCACGGTGGCTAAAAACTGTCGCTTCTGGTAGAAGAAAACAAAACAAAAACAAATAAACATAAACTTTTGGCGCTCCGCGCGGATTTCTTGGACCTGCGCTGGACCCCCTCCCTGGCACGCGGAGCGAGCCAGGGGCGGCGCCGGAGGCGCCGCCAGGGGGCCCACACGTGGAACCCGAGACATCCAGCGCGGAGCGCTAAAAGTTTATGTTAATGTTTTTTATCTTCTTCGATCCAGCGGGGGAAGCGCGATGGTGCTGAGCCCTGACTCGCGATCAGCAATGCTTTGGGAGATGTCGCAGGTGGGGCGGGAATTTCCGCCCTACGCTTCAAGCTGCTTCAGCGCCGATGTCCGCCCCACTTTGCCGTCGCTGGCTGTCTCCGCTGCAGGCCGCTTCTGATGCACACGTGCGGACGTACCCGCCCGACTCTTCCGTGGCTGAATCCGCCGCTCTGCTTTTCGTATCGTCCGGTGTGAGATTTTGGACACATCTGAAGCGGGCGTATCAGCCAGAGCACGGCGGATCTGAAGTCAGGGAGGAACGCGCGGGAACGGAGTCTCGACGCCGGGGGGGCTCGGGGGGGCTTCGGCGTCGCCTCATACCGAGGCCGCGCTAACGGCGATGTTGGTCAACGGCGGTGTTGGGAATCAGATTTTTGTGACACCGATATCGCGCAGAACACATGGAAATTCTTCCGCCGGCGGGTCCTTTCGTACGGATGGGGGCCTCCTGCTGGTATGCTGGTTCACAGGTGCGTCGGTGCTCTTCACATGTCATTTTGTGCTGACGGGGACCTCTGGCTACAGGTACGGTTTTGTTGGCGGTTCATTGCCTTCGATCACATCTGTGGGTGTGAGGTACAACGGTGCTCGTCACATCTGTGTTTGCGCCGACGGGCCTCTAGCTCCCCTTGTCCGTTCAGCTCCAAGTCCCTTTACTTGGGCTTCCTCCAGGCGAGGTCATCGTGACGGCTTTCGTCTTTGTCAACATACCTATTTCCTGCATTCCAAATGTGCGACAGCATTGAGCGACACCACGCAGCGAATTGTAGGAGGGCACGGGCCACGATGTCCTACATGTGGTTTGGCCACGAACCAGTCCCACCTACAATGCCGAAACCGACATCGCCGTTGCCTACATAGCCGTTAGCGCGTCTACGGTCATAAGGGGGGGCGATAAATGGGGGGGGGAGGTGCCCTTGTCGGACCCTAGCGGTCCCCGTTGGGGGCCCTTGAGGGTCCCTCCTGGGGCCCCAAAGGGCTCCTTTTCTGCAGCCCTCGCTGCCGCCTCCCATTGTAGAGGGCAAAAACTCTACCCCGACAATAACCACCCCGAAACGCGACGCTGTTTGCTAAACGCCCCCACTGAAGGAATCGAACAGGGAAGGGCTGCCTAAGAAACGCCCAAGGCCGTTTAGTAGACGTGAATTGTCTGGTCCGGTTGGTTTTTCCTCCCTTGACATTGGTCGCCCCCCCACGACACGACGCCCAATCTCCGGCCCCTCCGAGGCCTCGGGTCTGGCTGGCAGCGGCGCGGCTGCCCAGAACAATTAGTTTTAAGTCGGGCGTGTCCCCCTACAGGGGGATTGCGGGCGAACAAATAATCAAAAATACCCCCAGAATGGGCAACGGTAGCAAAAAAAAAATAGTCCCCAGAGTATGTTTGACTAGTTTTGAATATTCCCCCTGTAGAGGGACAGGCCCGCCTTAAAACTAGTTGTACTTATTTCTGTCGCCACACCGGCGGGCGCACAGCGCAGTCGAAGCCTGCGGGGGGGGGTCGCCCCGATCACCCCACCTGCAGCATCGCGTCGGAGATGGCGCTCGGTCCAAACTGTTGGCCAGCGCACGGTTGGATGAGCAGGTCGAACGCCAGACAAGATGACGAAGTCGAAGGGTGTCGACTGACAACCGGATGCAAGAACGTGCGTCCGTATTCGTTGGCGCTCCATGGGTCAGCCTCGCCACTTCGCAACACCATCACAACCATCGTCATCCCTACTGAAAGCTTGCCTGTGTGTATGTCGATGTGTGTGTGTGTGTGTGTGCGTCAACAGAGAGCAAGGCGCGACTGGTAGTTTCACTACTAACGTGCACTGGTAATGACATTGTCTTCTCCCTGTCTGACCTCTCTCGCCGCCCAACCTCACCCCCCGCCCTCGGAAAATCACGACCATCCCGCCACTGACTCTCGCGCACCCCACCAGCCCGCTTGGCAACCGACCGCCCCTTTTGCGATGCCATGCCCATTCCAGTCCGTGCTCGAGCCTTCGGTCTGGGGGACCGACATAAGACGAAGCCAGCGCGACGATGAAACCAGGGCGAGCTATTTCAGAATTGTCTGCGACCTGGTGGGCGGCGGCCGTTCAAGAGCGCTCCCGAACGCTCTAGAAGCGTTCTGGAACACTCTGGACCTGCCGGGTAGCAGACAAAGGGCATGACAAAGAGGGCGTGCAAGAAAGCAGACAAAGGGCAGGACAGAGAGGGCGTCGTCGCGGAGCGCCACGTGCAGCACCGGGAACTCGACAATGGCTCGCCCTCCCAGGCCGTGTCCGCAATCTCTGCCCATGTGGTTCAGACGCCTCATATGTACCCCCTCGCTTAGCAACGATGTCTGGCCCCACACTTCAAAACACTCCCTCAATCCACCAATACCGAGGACATGGCATCCCGCGCTTCGGCGCCTCACAGGATGAAGCAGGGTTGTGGCGATGAGACGACCGAATTGGCCAAGGCAGTTGGAGGCTGGGATCTGTCGATCCCTCCATGTGCTCCATCGGACCCTGATGTATACAATACCTCGTTCATTGTTTCTGCCTCCTGACCACTTGATGGTTCTCCTGCCTTCGTCGGAACTCCCTCCACACCTGGGTACCGACTTCCGTTCGATCTTGCGGAACAGTTTTTGGCTTCGTCATCGTCGTCGTCGCCGTCTTCGGCGTTCGTCACTGTAGAAGCCCGAGGGTAAGTTTCTTGCTGGCGGGCAGGCCGAACTGCCAATCTTCAGACAGCCCCGCGAAGCGAAAGTGATCAAGAACGTGGTCGCCTTATGATGCCCCCATCGTGCTTACGGCGCACATCTCAGAAATAATTGTGCACCCTGAAAATATCGAAACAATATCCAACGAATATCGCCTCCAAGGGCCCCACACGTGAAAACCCTCCCGTTTCGGTCCTTGTTTTGTGCTCGACATTCTTTCTGGTGGCCAAGGCAAGAGTAGGCTGGAACATCATAGTCCTTGCCCCTCATCTTCCCAGGAGCCGCCCATGTATACATCAAGGTATGCGGACCTTCGCCCGAGGTGCAGTGCACTAATTCGTTGTGGAACGTCTAGCGCTCGCACACCTTCCCCGAAGGAAACTCACCAGGCTGTGCTTAAGAGGGGAGAGGAAGAGTATCAATGTCACGCCGCCGCGGGGGCCCCCGGGGCCCCCATCGGCGTGCTACTCCCTCGTTCTCCGCCCGAGAACGACAACGCACATCGAGAGTAACAGGCCGACGGGGCCCTGGGGCCCCCCGCGGCGGCGTGACATTCATACTCTCTCGCCCCCCAGAAGTGCGCGCTGGCGGCTGCGAGCGTAATTTCATGGTCAATCCTCCTGTCCCCGACCTCCTCCTCCTCCCCCCCCCTTCACGGCCCCCTCCCCCTCCGATGAGGTTCTCCCGCAGCGAGCGGCCCTTGTCAAGTCGCAAGAACTCCGGCAGCGCTGCCAGCGTGGCCGCCATGGCAGCACGCCTTGGCAGCGGCTGGAGGGGAGAAATTCTCGCTCGGCGCTGGCATGACGCATCGCGTGCCCAACATGAAGGGGGAACCGGGCGAGGGCAGGACTGGAGAAACACGAGGAAGAGGAACCGCGAGAAGCGGGAGAGACCGAGCCCACCCCAAATGAAGAACTACCCAAAAAAGGAGAAGGGCATAGCCCACAGGAGCCCCGATGCTCCATTCAGAGGGGCGGCTGCTAGTATTTGGCTGCGCCCACCCGTCTCCGAGCGCCGTGACTTCAACACTGGGCACAACTCAACGCTTTCACAGACAGTGGCCCGGATGGTCACTGATCCGCACAATTACTTATGCCTGTCCTAGTTTCGAGAGGGTCAGAGAGGGTCCGCAATCGTTACCGGTCGCTTCTGGAGGCAAGAACGAGACGGAAGGAGACGCCCACTGGCAAAAATGAAGCATTGGTGGACAATGGCCGTCGCGCCAATAAATAGTGGAACCATTAGCTGCGGCCCCAGAAAAGGGAGGGCCGCATCGGTCAGCCGAGGCAATCATATTTGAGTAACCCCGATGCCACTGAACTGGCTGGTCCGAAAACAACTGATCAAAAGACCCAGGCACCTTGCTGTCGCCCTGAGAGGGGGGCCTCTGAAAACCTCAAGGCAGCCTTCCGGAAGGATAAAACGGACCGAACACCAGACATGAGAACGATCAGGATGCCTTTAGCAGGAAAGCGTGTCATCACTTCGGGAGACCGCGCAGAACCTGGGCCGCACACGCCACCACCGTCGCGATACTAACCTCTAGCAATGCGTCACGGTCACGACTGTGTGAAGTTCACTGGTCAACAAACTCAGTGAGCACAAGACAAATGGGCACAGTGTGCAAGAGGCGGAACTGCATTGCGGACGTGCCTACGGTTGGGCGAGCACCCCTTGCTTTCCCAGTCAGTCCTAAAACGGCCGTATGGCAACCATGCCCGGTTCCCAGAATCCGAAAAGAATGTCGTACAAAGCCGAACGAAAAAAAGAGGGCCAACATGTCTCAAGACAGCCAGGTTTTAATCCACGCTCTCGTCTGCGAGCGCCATCAAAAACAGCAACATCGGCACAAAAGCATCAGGGACAGACTCTGGACACATCAAGCTTTGACTTGGGATGGGGCGAGCGAAGCAGAGGACGGCGGAGCGAACGATGGGCAGACTTGGGCGCGCGCGGAGGAAATTCCCCTTCATTTCCATTGCCCTGCCACGCAGCTAATGCGTGGCCACGGGGGGGAAGTGAAAAGGGGCGGGTTTTCTCAGAAGGCTCGGGCATTCTTATAAGTTGCCTAAGCCTTGCCCGAAGATGCAGGAAACGTCTCAGAAGGCGAGAAGGCTTCTGAGAAGTCCCGCCGCCTTCTGGGAAAACCTTTTCCTTTTCACTTCCCCCCTTCGCTCGCCGGCGAATAACATCGCTCTTGGCCTTCTGATGGTTCTGACAAACATGCTAACGGAAACGGACTTCATTCTCAAGTGCAATGTGCTTCCAAAAACTCAAAAAAATGCGACCCCTCTTCACGACACGGGCCTCCAGCAGCAAGGCACTTTTGACCGGGACCAAGTGTTCCATGCCGAGTCATTGTTTGACAATCCCAAGGGGCGGTTAGGCCACCCAGAGGACGAACATGACAACATGAAGGGACATCTTAAGGTTTTCTTTTCTCTCAGCGCGAAGCAGTTCGGGCATTTTGGAAATCTACTTCCCAGCACTTAACGGGCGAAGAACGGTATAACATAAACTTTTTCGCTGTCGGGGGCGCCTGTCCCAGGGCGGCTGGAAAGTTTATACCCTTCCGGTGGCACCGTAGGGGTATAAACTTCCCAGCCACCCAGGGACAGGCGCCCCCGACAGCGAAAACGTTTATGTCATACCTTTCTTCGCTCGCTGAAACACGTCGGCAGACAACCGCCATGCGCAATCACACCACTGCCGTCACAGGCCCGCCTGGAGGCCCTCTGCGCCTCGTCCTCGTCGTCGGAGTCCGACTCCCTGTCGTCTACCTCGTTCCAGCGGGTGTCCCGACCTCGGCAGAGCGAAGACATGTATCCCCCGCTGTCTAGCCGTGCCATGTTTTTTTCGGTCGCGGCCGCGAGACGACGGTCAAGCAGCAAGAACAAAGTCCGGGACGCGAACTAGGCGAATCAGCTAAGACAGGCGCAAGCCGGCCGCCCCACTCAGACAGCAGCCGCGAAGCTGAAGAGGAGGAGCTGACGGCGGACGGAGCCCTGCAAGCTCGAGCACGTGCACAGCGCGAAACGACAAAAGTGTACACAGAGGCGCACCGTTTTCTCCGGCGAGGCAGCGGCACGCCACAGGCCGAAACCAATGGAGAGGTTTGTGAGCGCTGGCCAAGGTGCGCCGCCGGGGCACCAAGAATGCCATGACGAGGAGTGGACGCTAGCGCGCACTCGGATGTACAGCCAGCCCGTATAATGAGGATGCGCGGTAAGGATGCAAGGGCCTTGGGAAGGCCATGTTGATGCTTGTCGAACGAGGCTGGCCCGCGAAAGTCCCTTCGGATTGGCCGAAGGGGCAAGGAAGCATGGGTAGTCTTGGAAAGTCGCTCATCCTTACGATGCGGGTTGACTGTAGCGCTTTGCCACGATCGACGGCCTTGTCATTGGCCGGCAGCTGACGCAGAGTCCACCGGGAGCCTCGAGGCGGGTTCGAAACTCCGGGCTCTCCCCGAGAAGATGGGTCGCGCCCCGGGTGACGATGACCGATGTGGTGTGGCAACGCCACGTGTCCACGATGCATCGGTTTGCAGGCTGCGCTCCGTACCTTGTGTGTCGCCCCTCGAGCGGACGACGCCCGAAGGCGCCGAAGCTCAGTTGGCGTGGCAACTGGAAGACGATCTGAATCGTAAACCCGCGTCTGCTCTGATGCCTTGTCACTCGTGCTGCAATCGGGCGTGCCTTCTGTGTCCCCCCTCGAGCGGACGACGCCCGAAGGCGCCGCTCCGCCCGAGCCTGGCCCACCAGTCTCGAGCAACACTGCCTGCACTGCATATGTTTCCCCCTCCTTCACCTCCTCCTCTTCCTCCTCCCTCCTCCTCTTCCTCCTCGTCCTTCTCCTCCTCCTCCTCCTCCTCTTCCTCCTCCTCGTCTTCCTCCTCCTCTTCGTCCTCCTCCTCCTCGTCGTCTTCCTCCTCCTCCTCTTCTTCCTCCTCCTCCTCTTCCTCCTCCTCCTCCGCATCGTCCTCCTCCTTCTCTTCTTCCACCTCCTCCTCTTCCTCCTCCTCCTCCTCGTCCTCGTCGTCTTCCTCCTCCTCTTCTTCTTCCTCCTCCTCGTCCTCCTCTTCCTCCTTCTCTTCCTCCTCCTCCTCCTCGTCGTCTTCCTCCTCCTCTTCTTCCTCCTCCTCCTCCTCTTCTTCCTCCTCCTCCTCGTCATCCTCCTCCTCCTACGGAAGAAGCCAAGCTCCGCCAGGAGGCAGCGCCACCTCCCCAGCCGCGAACGGCTCCCGAGCCTGCCTGGCCCAGCACAGGTCGTGCATCCCTGCTCCTGCGACAGGAGCAGCGAAATCGGCACACACATGAATTCTCAGAGATCTAAGCTGAGGTCGGGCCTGTCCCCTACAGGCCGTTCTTGGTCGAAAAATGATCAATAGTTTTGTTAATCTAACTATGGTTACTATTTTTAACCCATAGAACACTAAACTACTCAAGCATTGTAAAACAACATCGTCCCCTGACTGTCTTCTTCTCTTTTTTGTTTCAACATAGCCTACACCACATAAATTAAGGCACGAAGTTTGCACCGCTGGAAGCCAAAACCTCCTTTTTGGTTGTCAAGCATCACAGCCGGAATTCGGAGTCTACGATTGCTGATTTACTTGTTAGTTCTATTCCGTTGGATGCCATTGGAAGCCACCAGGCTTCTAGGAGTTTCTGCTACAATCGGGAATCGTGGTTCCACATCGGAATCCAAGAGCCGCTTCAACCTGGACGGCTGAAAAAGGCGCCCCGCAGGAAACAACTGTTCCTCCATAGCGGTGAGATTACGTCATGTCGGCGCGGCGGCGACTCTGGCGCGGGCTCTCGGAAGGGAAGCGGCCGGTGGTCAGGAATCGGCCGGTGTTGAGTGTGAGGTCGTGCACGGTTGAACGACCCAAGCGGTGTCGAACATCGACGCGCAGGCCGTTGCGACACTTGCCAGCGCAAGATCAAGCGAAGAAGGCACACGTTGTTGGTTGAACGTTACCGCGAAGGGTCAGTAATGATGGGGATCCCCATCCATAAGCCCTCGGCGGAGAATAGAAACTCGTCCCTCCTGTTCCTTCCCCCTCCTCCTCCTCCTCCTCCTCCTCCTCCTCCTCCTCCTCCTCCTCCTCCTCTCCTCCTCCTGCTCTGGAGCCTGTTTTTTTGGCGGCGCGCAGAGGGGGGTAGGGGGAGGGGGGAAGGCTTCTTAGAAGCACCCCTGCTTCTTAGAAGGTGCGGGCCTTCTCTGTAGATGTAAGACCGGCGCCTTCTAAGAAGCAGCCTCCTTCTAAGAAGCCCTCCCCCCTCCCCCTACCCCCTTCTGCTCGCCGCCAGTTTTCGTCGTCGGAGCGGTGGTAAGAACGATGACGACGACGGCGGCGGCGACGACTCTGACGGAGGCGTGTGCTGTGGCTGCCACCGGGGAATCATTATTCGAAGGGGCCCTGGGACACACAAATAAATACACACATAAAAAGATTCGCCCCCACCTGGCCCCGACACCCCCGGGCCTCTGGGCTCTGTTCTTGAGACCCCCGACCCCGCGATTTCTCGCCCGAAATCGACCCATACCCCCCACCCCCTCCACCACCTGGCCGCCACCTCGCCCCCACCTGGCCCCGACACCCCCAGGCCTCTGGGTTCTGTTCTTGAGACCCCCGACCCCACGATTTCTCGCCCGAAATCAACCCACACATTCCACCCCCCCACCCCCTGGCCGCCACCTCGCCCCCACCTGGCCCCGACACCCCCAGGCCTCTGGGCTCTGTTCTTGAGAACCCACCCCACGATTTTCGCCCCCCATCCACACCCCCCCACCCCCTGGCCGCCACCTCGCCCCCACCTGCCCCGACACCCCCAGGCCTCTGGGCTCTGTTCTTGAGACCCCCGACCCCACGATTTCTCGCCCGAAATCGACCCATACCCCCCACCCCCCACCCCCCGCCACCTCGCCCCACCTGGCCCCGACACCCCCAGGCCTCTGGGCTCTGTTCTTGAGACCCCCGACCCCACGATTTCTCGCCCGAAATCGACCCATACCCTCCACCCCGCCACTCCCTGGCCGCCACCTCGCACCCACCTGGCCCCGACACCCCCAGGCCTCTGGGCTCTGTTCTTGAGACCCCCGACCCCACGATTTCTCGCCCGAAATCGACCCATACCACCCACCCCCCCACACCCTGGCCGCCACCTCGCCCCCACCTGGCCCCGACACCCCCAGGCATCTGGGCTCTGTTCTTGAGACCCCCGGCCCACGATTTCTCGCCCGAAATCAAAACATAATCCCCACCCCCACCCCTGGCTGCCACCTCGCCCCCACCTGGCCCCGACACCCCCAGGCCTCTGGGCTCTGTTCTTGAGACCCCCGCCCCACGATTTCTCGCCCGAAATCGACCCATACCCCCCACCCCCCCACCCCCTGGCCGCCACCTCGCCCCCACCTGGCCCCGACACCCCCAGGCCTCTGGGCTCTGTTCTTGAGACCCCCGACCCCACGATTTCTCGCCCGAAATCGACCCATACCCCCACCCCCCCACCCCCTGGCCGCCACCTCGCCCCCACCTGGCCCCGACACCCCCGGGCCTCTGGGCTTTGTTCTTGAGACCCCCGACCCCACGATTTCTCGCCCGAAATCGACCCATACCCCCCCCCCCACCCACTCCAGATTCGGATGAAAATCCTGAACTGGAAATATTAAGTTCTTTAAGCGAAAGCTATATGAACTAATGGCAATAAAGATGAGAATCTTTGACTGCTTTGACTTGAGCCAGTACATTACAGTACGGTGCTGCTTCTAGCGTATGAGACAACATGCCTAACAGGTCCTAGACATAATAATCTCAACTCTGGTCCTATTTTCTTTAGGACATGTTGGATCTTATAAACATTAAAAACCAGTCGATTTTACTGGAGTTCGGTAGCGGCTCTAGGAAGGAGTGAGAAAAGAGAAGAGTAGGACAGCAGTCCTAAGTAAGCCAGAATAGGCTTATCAAATCCACCACGGCCACCAAATATCAGTCCATTGAAATATATCAACTGAACAAATCCATTGAAACAAATCTGATGAACTCTATCTCGAAGAGGTAGCCGATAAAGGTGAACATGAAATACTAGCTCCACAATTGAGGTCGCACAGCGGTGTACATGTGGAGCTATTCATATAACATCTCTTATATAGAACCAAACTCCAGATCATACTCCAGATTCTGATGCAAATCCTGAACTGGAAATATCATGGTCTCGTAGTGTCTGACTTGGTACTATCTAGTCCAAATCCTTGCCTGACTCGTAGTGTGCCTGCAATCGTCCAACAACCGGTGGTGATCAGCTCCAAACGTGACTTGGAATCTGCCCCCACGAACTTTGTCAACATATCTGAAACCATCCACTTAGTACGAACATGATAAAGTCGTCGTAACCTTGGGGTTCTGCGCTCTTCTCGAAGCGACAGAATACCCAAACGCTGTGACTTGTCCTGCGGTGTTCCTCGAAGTCCACAACATAACTCCCACAGGTCCATACAATCAATGAAAGCGTCTACTGGTAAACTCAACTGTCCACGGTCCAGTCGTTCTTGAAGCTGTAGTGGTTTCTGCGGTCCACATAGAATGTTGATCTCCGGTTCTGTGAGCCTCATGCCGATAATCTGTGCCATGGGAACTCCTCGTGCTGCTGCCAATGTTTCTGCATGGGACGTGCTGTGTGAAACCCTCTTAGACTTGGTCGAGGTAACCACCAATGCATGTAACTTGCCACTGAGCCGATTGATCAGGTTGTCCTGCAGATAATCTTGTCGATCGCATAAAGGAAAATGTAGTCGATCTTC